GCAAGGCTATTACTGACGAAAGTGAGGTCTACATTTGAGCTTGCGTCACCTTTGGTGTAGGTCGGCGTATCACCACTGTTGAGCAAGACTACATCTAGTGTAGTAAAGGCCTCCAGTAGTGCTTTCCCTCGTGCTTCGCATCTTCGGTTAGTCGATCAAGGAAATCAGTGAAGTCAACAATGGAGAGGCTAGGTGGTGCGTAGCAGCTATAGAAGCGGATGCCTTCTATTGATACTGCTACAAAGCCGGGATTGCTGTTGTCGACTGCATTTTGGAAAAAGAGCTTGCCACATGACCAGATGACAGCTTTGGATGTGCTGTCAGATTCCCAGGGTCGGGTACTCAGGTGTTTATATGGCTCTGCTATCAGTACCAAGTCCAACTCTAATTCTCGCACGAATTGCATGAGCAAGTCATGCGCTGCCTCACAATGGTTGAGATTGAGCTGCAATATCCTCATGCTTGTTTGTTCGTCAACTTCTGGAGCGCCTTCTGAAATACCGGGCATCTGTAGGTGCCGGCATGGTGAGCCACGTCCTTTGCTCCTTGCTGCTCAGTACATATTGCACACTTGGCAGAATTTTTACAGTCCGCGATACGGTGCCCTTCTTGTCCACATCTGATGCAGAGTTTAGATCGGTCTACTTGGCTTTTACATTGGGGCCCAACATGTCCAAAGTGCCAGCATGTGAAGCATTGAACTGGCCGTCTAGTTGCTCTTATTCGGCAATTGACCCAGCCAATCCTTATTTTGCCGCTTCCTTCCAGCAGCTGTTGTGCTGCAGCTGCTGGTAATGTCACTGTAGCCGTTTGCGTACCTCTGTAGGCCTTACGGATCTTGATAGCCTCTAGTGGTATTTCGCAAGTTTCTCCGGTTTCCGTTTTCAGGGCAGTCTGAATGTACTCCTTCGTCGTATCATCATCAATGTCTCGGATCTCGATGGTCTCCTGCGGTCCTTTGCAGATTACTTCGGCCTCTTTTTGAAGAATATTCATGATGGTCT